ACTATTTTATAATAACTTGCATGATAGAATAGGAAAGAGATAATTAAATATTACTATAATAGAAAAGAAATCAACCTTACTTAATATGTTAACCATGATATTAATGCAAAAAAGTTCTCATTAAAGTTTTTCAGCCCCTTACCAAAACATAACCATAAGGTACTATTAAAAAACTTGGGAGGGCAAACTCTTCCAATATAAATACAAAATTGGGTATAGGCATAATTTCTACCCACAAACCCATGAGTTTAGTGACACACTTAAGAGCTAAGCTTAGCTCCTTTGAATCTTGTACCCTAAGCCTTATTGTTGTGAATACGTGTAATGGAACAACACACAATTTAAAATCATCATCTAAACAATAACAATGTAGATATAAGTATGCAAAATGTCATATGGCCTTTGACAAATCTAACAACACTTCACTAGACATAGTTATCCCAAAAATCTAAAAATTGATAAACATAGCAATGACCCTCGGCAGCAATATACAGCAAAAACATAAGAAGCCTTACAAGCTACAAGTTTAGCTTCTAGTTGATTCCTTTTGCCTCTCTTAAAAAGCAATGAGAAATGAAAAGGTAAGATAATAAAGTCTTTGTAATCAAGGATCAATTTAAGATATTATAAATAGGACAGCAAGTTGGAAAAGTAGTACATTAGAACAAATAAAACCCATGAGTTCAGTAAGTGACTTGCTTGAGGGTCAGGCTTAGTTCTTGGTAAGTACCCTCAGTGGAAAACTGGAAAAAGATATAGAAGGAGGAAAAGAGAGGAATGGGAACACTCTAATCTTTCACTCACAACAAGTATCTCGCTCAAAATACAAGAATAGCCCAAGAGAATCTCTGAAACAATTCATTGAAATATTATTCTACTCACACTTGCTAAACAGGGGAGCAACATATATAGAGTGGTTTTGCTAACAAGAAAATCAACAGACTCCCTACATTATCGGGATAACAATGAAATGGGAAATATGGAAATATACTTACTAACTCAGGACTAACTAACGTGTCCACTTATTCAGCTAACCGATAAACATAAAATCAGAATTTAAAATAATCAAATAAGACCAGGTCAACTTGTTAAATCGAACCCCTTCTATGTCACCTTTGATAAGTCATGCCCCACTTATTAGGAGTCTTATCATTACTGCCCCCTTGAAAACTTGACTTGTCCTCAAGGCGAAAAGAAGGAAATTGCTATTGTAACAGATCATAATCTTCCCACAACTAGTTCCAAATGGGGTCCCTTCCAACAATGATTCAGAATAGATTCTGGTTCTAACTACCACTTAAGATCCGCCGAAAGTGGTAATTTAGTAGGTGGATCAGAAGGTAGCTGTCCATGAGCAGGACACAATAAAGATACATGGAAAACAGGATCAATTCTTGTTGTAGCCAGTAGCTCTAGCTCATATGCAACAGAGCCCACTCTTCTGATGATTTTATAAGGGCCGAAGAAACGTGGTGATAATTTGGTGTTTTTGTTATAATAGGGAATGCTGTCTGAAAGGCTGAATGCGCAAGAAGACTGCATCGCCTACTTTAAAGTTGAGTTCACGATGGTGCTGATCTGCATAGGACTTCATTCTATCTTGCACCTTCCTCAAATTGTCATGGCAAACAAAGCATGTGATCTGGTTTCTAACTGTTCTGCAAGTTGCTCAACATGAGTCTCTCCTTTAATAAATGGATGAAGTGGAGGAGGGTCCCTACCATAGACGACTTTGAAGGGAGTGATATTGGCAGCAATATGAAAACTAGTGTTGAAGGAGTATTCTGCCCAGCACAATAATTTATTCCAAGCACGAGGTTGATCATGTGCAAAACACCGCAAATACGCCTCAAGGCATCTGTTAACCACTTTAGTTTGGCCGTTCGTTTGGGGGTGATAAGATGTGCTCATTCTTAAATGAGTTTGGCTAAGTTTGAACAGTTCTTGCAAAAAAGCACTTAGAAAGAGAGGGTCTCTATCTGAGATAATAGAACAGGGCATTCCTGTAAGAATGGCTGATTACCCAAGAAGAGAGGTGAATTGGGTGTTAATTAAAATTAAAAACTTTTTCGCAATGTAATAAAATTCATAAGAAATTTTCAGTATAAAAACAATGAATTGACATAAGCATAATCGCAGTAGTAAAATGATTTAGCTGGAAATATAAAGAGGTAAGAGAAGAGAAGATGCAAACTATGATTTATCCTGGTTCAGTCCTTACTGACCTACGTTCAGTCCCAAGACTCCCCCTAAGATTTTCAATCCACTATATCCCTCAAGTCTAACACGGGTACTTGAGAACCACTACAACCACAAGTTTAATCTGGGCACTTGTGACGCCACTTACAATCCTTAGACTAACCAATCTATTCAACAGCAACCTCTCACTAAGATAAATACTCCCCCTTATACACCGTAAGGATACAATCTGATAATAATAATGAAGATTGAATATTTCTTCTCTCAAAGAAGTGATAGATGAATCTTAAGCACGTTTGGGAAACTCTCCTATTTATCTTATGAATACATATGTTTTAGTCTATGAAGTATAGAGACAGGGAGTTTTCTCTCAGAGCTCTAAATGAGAATATGTTGATTCAGTATTTTAGCATTTGATGTTGTAAGTTTAGACTCTTCTTCTTTTTCTTGTTTTGAATGCTCTTCTATTTATAGATGATGTTGGGTACTTGATCGTGGAGCATTTTCTTCCCGATTGGCTTGAAGATTATAACCGTTGAAACTAGCCATTGGAAGCTTCTGACAAAAGCCGATTCTTCACATCACAAATTCATTGTGGCTCTTTACATCTTTACAGATAAGTATCTGATAATCTTAGAAACAATAAGTTGAAAAACATGGAATCAATCATCAGATATTCAGATATTCAGAAAGTAAGATGAATTTACTTAATCGATGCCTTGATCGATAATCCTCTGATCGATCATATTATCGATTAATTATATGAAGAAAAGATATGACATATATATGCAATTATCAAATAGATTATGGATTATATGATGATTGAACAAATAATCGATAACTGATGAAACATGAATGCAGTTAGCTTTAAATGGATTATGCAAGGATAATCTTTTTCAAGTTATGTTTGCCTTCGTATCCTTTCAATAGAGAGTTATGTGTAAAAGAAAGGCTAAGAAAAGCTTAAAGATAAAAATATAAAAGATTTCGAAATCATCGTGAAATGCTGTTATGAAATAAATTGGTACAATAATCGAACAAGTGATCGAAAATTGTTTGATCGATCATATTATCGATAAACCTAAGTATAAGAGAAACATATTTTCAAAGTGTGTTAATCAAATACTTTATCGATAAACGATTGATAGGAGAAATGATCGGTAAAAAGTTTCAAAGAGATTTTTACAGTGAAGTTACTGAATATAAGATGATCGATTAATGATTAATCGATTAAGTGATCGATAAAATATCATTGAAAACTTATTTCAGAAATACTAGGAAAAACCTTGATCGATCACGTTATGTGAAAACAGAAGTTTCAGAAGATTGGATGATCGATCATTTTATCGATAAATGAATGATCAATCAAGTGATCTGAAAATGGCTTTAAACAAGTAAGTGCAATGAGAGTGTTGATCGATCATTTGATCGATAAGCGATTGATAGTCATGGCTTCTACACCCGCATATCTGCTCATAGTTCTTCTTTGAGTCTATTAAGGAACACACTGAGAAGGCAATGCTTTGGCCAGTCCTTCACATGAGTAGCACGGTGAGCAAACTCCTAGCAGTAGTCATGCACACATTCGATTTGCTTGATGGCGCATAGATATTCATCGGGGTTCTGAAATTCCAGTGGACCATAGTGTTCTTGTAATGCCTTGATCAGTTCGTCCCACTACAAGAAGGTCCTTTCTGAATTGATCCACGAAAATAGATCTAAAACATCACCCTCTAGGTACATTGATGCTATATCAACCTTCGAGTCCTCAGGTGTGTCATAGTACCTGAAATATTTCTCTGCTTAGAGCACCCAACCCCTCAGATCACCCCTACTGAATTTTGGGAATTCAATTTTCATATGGGGCAATCTGTGTCCTTATCTATATGATTTAGACTCATCGTCATTGTCATCAACCCATCTCCTCCTTCCTGTACCTCGGTCTCGGTTGTTCTAGCTGAAACTGCTTCAAGAGTTGCAACTCTTTTTGCAATCATATCCAAAGTTTTCAGCTTGGAGGCTATAGCAACCAAGGGATCAACTGCGAGAGGATTTTCTTCTGGTTGGGATTCTGCCTGGGTTCAAGAAGAACGAGTTTCAACCATGGCTCTGATGCCAAAATGGTAAGTACCCTCACTGGAAAAAGATATAGAAGGAAAAAAAGAGAGGAACGGGAGCACTCTAATCTCTCACTCACAGCAAGTATCTCACTCAAAATAAGAGAATAGCTTAAGAGAATCTCTGAAACAATTCACTGAAATATTATTCTACTCACACCTGGTAAACAAGGGAGCAACATATACATAGTGGTTCTGCTAACAAGAAAATCAACAGACTCTCCCTACATTGTCAAGATAACAATAAAATGGGAAATATGGAAATATACTTACTGACTCAGGACTAACTAACTTGTCCACTTATTCAGTTAACCGATAAACATAAAAATACAATTTAAAATAATCAAATAAGACCAGGTCAGCTTGTTAAATTGAACCCCTTCTATGTCGCCTCTGATAAGTCATGCCCCATTTATTAGGAGTCTTATCAGTTCCTTTGAATCTTGTACCCTAAGCTTTTTTGTGAATATGTGTAATGAAATAACAAATAATGTGGATCCACGTATAATTCATATGCTAAATGTCCTATGACCTCTGCCCAAACTAACAACACTCTACCAGATATACTTATCCAAAAAATCCAAAAACTGATAAATATAACATTAGTTTCATGATAAAAGATGTAACGATCTTAGATGATAATATACATAAATCATTATAACAATTACATAAGAAGTCTTTCAAGCAACAAGTATTCTACTTGCTTCCTTTTGCCTCTTTTGAAAAAGAGTGAGAAATGATGGGCAAGATAATAAAGTTTTTGTAATCAAAGATGAATTTAAAACATGTACAAATAGGATAATAAGCTAGAAAAGTAGTACATTATAACAAATAAAATGATAACATAACCTGTAATTCTCTATACTGAGTCTCAGAGATTTGAGAAGACTCCTCCTTATGGTATCAGAGCCATAACTCTCAACAATATAGATCAAGTGAGTAAGAAAGAACCCTAAATCATGAGTGAATCCACCTCCACTGAACCTATCCGTCTCTCGTCATATGCAATCACATGACATATTATGCCTCCCATCCATCCCACTCCTCTTTATAGGTCCTTGATGTTGACCATGATCATTCATGTTATAACTCGACCAAAAATCACTCTGCTTTCTTCAAATCAACTCCTATATTTGTATTGCCCAAGATTAGGTTATGGTTCAAGAAATGTCTACCCAAAAGTTCCAATGCTATAACTAGTAACGCAATATAATGATTAATCAATTACAGGCCCACACATGCATACCAAAATATATTATGCTTCACTAAATTTTATTATATAAGATCATACAAAAAAAAAGTTTATTATATTTGAAAATAAGTATATGATTCCCAAGTTAGAAAAAAGAGTTATCTCAAATCCAAACTGGGAAAAGAGAGAACTATGAGAACCTAATAAGGTGCCAACACTATAATTCGTAGTATGGCGTGCCACACAAGTTTCTAAACAAGTTATACCTGTCTTAAAAGATTCCTAATCTCCTTCTTGATTCCAATGCATAAATTTAATATAAATTCAAACGCAGTGTGAGAAGACATAATTTCAAATATCAACACAACTTCACTTCATAACTTAGTACAATAATTATTTGAACTATATTACATGCACTAAGTTGAACCATAAGATTCCGCTTCATAAGAATACCAGTCACTCGATCTAATACAGCTCCTCAATTCAAAGCTATAATTATTGTTTTTTTCAACTCCAAAATTCCAAAGAATACATCAATCAACCTCAAAGCATCCATTAATTGCCAAAAAAAAAATCATATGCATCAATATGAAAATTTTTTATATGTAAATTCATGCTTTGATTGATTTTGTTTAGTTTTATATAGATATTTCATATCTTATAGAAATAATATACCCTATCTAAATAATATTCGATAAATAATAGAGTAAATTGATCTTTTCTTGTGTTCTGAAAGATATTGACAATGCAAAATTATTTGTATGTTGGGGATTAGAATAAACATTTCTCTATGGAGGAAGGGAATACCTAATTTTTCCTATAAAACTTCTAGCCAAGAAGATTTAATCAGAAATATTGACATATTCTTGCGGAGTCCAAATCAAAAAAATATAAAAAATGAAATAAAAATTCCAACAATATACCATGGAGAAAATTTAATCAGCAACAATCTAGACCAATTAAAACTCTTACCTAACTCAAATAAATATAATCCAATCATTAAACTACCATTTAAATCAGCACCCATATATAAAGTAAATATCTTATCTACGTATAAGCTAAAAAGATTAGGTTAAAACACTACCCATTTCAAGAACCTTAGATCACTCCCAAACCCTCAAATCAGAAAATTCTCAAGGAAAAGAAGCAAATTAAGTCAGAAGGGCTTACCCGAGAATTTTTAAACTCCAAAACGCTATTATAGTCTCCCAAGGCTAGATTTATCAAAGCTACTTCCACTCCCTCCCCCCTTCTCTTGGTTTTCTAATTGCCATAATCCAAATTCTAACATGTTCACTTTGACAACTAACATAACGGCTCAAAACCCATTTTTATGTTGTTTGCAGTGCAATTCGCCACATTGAAAGACATAGAATCAGAAAACACCTGTTCAAAACAAAATTCTAACAAAATCATAACATCCACAAAAACTCCATAAGATCAAATTCCAACATGTTTGCTTCGATGAACAACAAAGGCTCGACACCCATTTTTGTATCGTTTGCTATACAATTCACTACGGCTAAATACACAGAATCAACAAACACTTTCCAAAACAAAATCTAACTCAACCTTAACATCCACAAAAACAGCATAAGATTTACTCATTCGATCCTAAATATAAAACGCTTTTTATAGTGTATATAAGGGTCTTAAGTTTAGGACCAGAAGAGTAATTTAATTTTCAATACCTCTAAATCCTTTTATTAAAATTAGGATGTTATAAAAAAGTATAGTTTTATAAATATATATACCCATATTAATTATCAATTAATTATATAAATAATAAATTAGTTTTACATATGTATATATATTATTTATTTGTTGCTTATAAGATAAAAAACAGATGTAACTTTCAACAAAACCCAAGAACCTCAAAGCTTCGACACAAAACTGAAAATTGAATCAAATAACTAATAATACATTGAATAAAAACAAATAACCATAGATGCACAGTTGAAGGAAAATGACCATTGAGCCACAATTTAAAAAAAAAAAAAAAGTTGCCAACACATGACAAATTTTAGTTTCAAGGTTGTTAAGTGACAAAATCTGCACACACCAATATCATTTGTTTTCCAAAATAGCCTTACATAAGAAAAAGATTGTAAGCAAAGGGTATAAATTAACCACTTAGGACCCCACTACATTATTTTCACTTTATATGAGCCCCTAATTCAACCAACATACACAAGCATAATTTCCCATCAATAACAAACACATAAATTAGATCACAAATTCATCACAACTTCATAACAAAATCAGAGAATAAAAATTATCACCTCCAATGGAGGCATTTTTTCCCCCTTATGAATCTTTCATCCCACACCGATGAGCTAGTAGCCACCATGGAACAAAATTGAATAGCATATAATTCAAAACTATAAAATTATATATATCTGTGTGTGTGTGACAAAAGAAACAAGTTAACAAGAACTAAGGCTGAATATGGACCAGTCTGGGTCAGATTTGTCATAAGCCCATGATCTAGTCCAATTTGACTATTAAGCTTCTGTGTTTTACCCATCATTTTACCCAATTGGTTCAACGCTTAGGTCCATCTCTGTTTTCTTTGTACTCTTTGTTAATGAGCTGACACTAAAGTCCAAAAGGTGAACCTAATTATTTTACCCATTATGTTTTTAGGCCTGATAACGGCAAAACTAAACAATGTCAACATGAATACACACGCTACCTCTTGTCAATTAATATGAGACTCAGTTGATTAATTTAGAAAGATCAAAAAAATTGAATAAATTGCTTTAAAATGTTATATTTATCATTTTTCTCCAAACTAATTTGTCTCATATATAATACTACTTCCAGTCCTTAACATAAGATCTTGTTTGACTTTTATTTTGGTTCTAAATATAAAATCCCAATCCATTTTGTCTCTAACATTTATCTACTTTTTTTTCAAGATAGTCCTTGTAGTAATAGCAGTTTTAGCTGATATATGTAATTAGCTAATAGTAGCTTTAGCTAATATACGTGATTAGCAAGGGTATTCTAAGAAAAACAATATCTATTTATTACAAATAACTAACTTAACAAACATTCTTAATCTACTCAATTTAGTCAGCTAGCTCTTATATTAAGGATCAAAGGTAGTATAATGATCCACATAAATATTTCAAATACATCATGTAACATGCTTTATAATTAAGTGATTTTTCAGCTTCCTTAATTTTCTCTAGTTAATCGATTGGGTCTTGTATTGAGAACCAAGGGTATTATATGTATAGCAAAATTAATAGAAAAAGTGTAACACCTTACATTTACGACCTTATATTGTGCCAAGTTAAGATATTCGGAAGCGCAATTTAAGGTTACTGGGTTGAAAAACCTGAATTTGAAAATTTCTTTTCCCGCATTACTATTCACTGTAACCTTAAACTTGACATAACTTTGGAAAATCATAACTAATTCTAGAAAAATCAAAACAAGGTCGTTCCAAGTCTCACTTGAACCTCTTAACATCATCTATCAAGGAAAAATGACCTCAGGTTCCACTTTAATCAGAAGCGCATCCGTTTTTAATTTCGAAAAGTACTGTTCATTTGGTCATTTTTCTATTTTCCAGGATTTTTGCCTAACTTCGAAAAGGCATAACTTCTTACACAGAGCTCCGATTGTGACGCTTTACCACTCATTTTAAAGGAAAAAATAAGATCTATTTGCATACCAAATTTCAGGGAAAAAGTCAACCATTTGACCAGGGTCTTCGTTGGTCAAAGTTTGGTCAAATCTAGACCAATCCCCTTTTTCACTGATTCTAACAACATTTCGTTTTTCACTATAATCATACCATAATCACATATAAAGCTACTCTATCATTAATATACATTCAAAAAGGTTACCATATCATGTGTTCATGATCAGAGTATTCTTACATGGCTTGAAAGAGAAAGGTTCAAAACCGTATAATACAATACATAATTCATAACTTCCTCAAGCCATGATTATTTCCTTTCCCTTCTCCTTGGCAGTAGTGGCACCTAGGATATCATGTTATAGGAGGAATGAGATTTCATATAAATCCCAGTAGCATTGAACATACAACCATCAAGTCAACATGCATAAGATGTCATGCTACATGCAGTAAAATAACATTTCTAGTCTTTATGCCATGCCATAACCATTTTGTATCCATGTCATCATATCATGGAGCATATAATCATTCTGGTCAAAACTCAATCATGCAAGAGCCAAGGCATACATTGCAAGGAGTTCACATCATCTGTACATAAACATTCTCATGGCACATAAACACATATAGCAGAAACACCAAATGCAGATCAACAAAATAATTGCAATTCACGCTACCTCAGTTCCACGCTTAACGTTTCCTCCTTGTTCCCTTGCTTGAGATCCTCCTAGGTTTCCAGAAAATTGCCTATCAATCATACAGTAAGGGTATGGTAAATTCCATATCCAGTATACCATTCTTTCTCAATATAATGCTACCCTTGTGCCTTTCAATTTATAATTTCTGTATACCTTTCCTAAACCTTTGACTTTGGTTTGACCAAACCTTAATCCTCAATTAAGGTCTTGGAATTCTTCCTTAATCCATGATTAATCATGCTTTCTTGGTTAATCACTAACCCTTAATCCTTAATCCAATATTTAATTAAGGTCTTCAAGTCACATAGTCATTAGTACAACATAATCTTCTAAGATTAAGTCACTAATCCCTTATGGATTAACCATTAATCATTCTCTAATCAACATGATTAACCATTAATCATTCCTTAATCAACATGATTAATCATTAATCATTCTCTAATCAATATGATTAAGCTTTAATCAATCCTTAATCAACATGATTAACCATTAATCATTCTCTAATCAATATGATTAAGCTTTAATCATTCCTTAATCAACATGATTAACCATAATTAATCATCCTTTAATTAGCATAACTAATCACTAATTAATCAGGGTAGCCAACCTTAATTACTTGCTAATCTTTAATCAAACAACATGACTAATCTTAACTATCACTAAACCATAATTAATCAAGGTAATCAATCCTAATCTTCCTCAAATAAATAATTAACTAAAAATAATTAACACTTAGGGAGATAAACATACCTTAATTAGCTCTTAATCGGCGATTAGAGGTGTCTAACCTTGCTTTCCCCCTTTCTCTCTCTTCTTTCTTCCTTTCTCTCTCCTAGAACTCAAGAACACAACATTCCCTCTCATGCAAAACCTCTTGGCCGAATTTGTTCATGGAAGGGGGGGTATTTATAGGCTTTGATATTTCAAAATGCCAAAAATGCCCTTCGGGAAAAAGATGCGATCTCCGCCGTCCAGTTTTTTCTACTTTACACATGGACAAATCTTAGGACACACACCATAAGAAGTTGACACATGGATGGACACCTAATCACCATGTGATTTTCATGTGGAAATAAAATATTATTTTATTGTTTTGTCTCTTATTTCCCTTTATGCCCTTGAACAATTTGAAAAATTCCAACTTTGTCCTCCCCTTCTAATTTTGGCCGAAATATTGCTCTCAATATTGGAAAAAAAAATGACTCATCCAATAATCAGTGCAATCCACTGATTATTTGTGTATTTCCGGTCCGATTTTCCAACAATCCTGTCCAATTTACTGTCACAAAATTTCGATTTCAACACCTCATTAAATTCCCCTCATTCCAAGGGTAATCCTTGATTTTTCTCAAGTTTTACCTCCCTCTATAATTTTCTAAATTTTATCCTGTCAAAAATCACTCTTCTACCGATAATAATTCGGTAATAAATATTCTTTAAGCTAACCTTTGTACGTCCAAAGGTGGGAAGTAATTTTATAAATTAGGATAATATGTCACATAATTTATCCATATTTTTCCTTGAATTTTTGAGGCCTCTATATATTTTAAATAATGGAAATTGGCTAATTTTTCTTAATTAACCAAAAATTCCAATAATTACAAATAATTCCCTGATAAATTATTTTTAATCTTATATTCATCTTCTAAGCCTCAAACATTATTTTGTACCCTCCTTTCTATTTTTCATGATTTTCTGGGAATTTTCAGGAATTTTGGACATTATTTCCAATACTGCCCTTTCTTGACTGATCTTTTCAAAAATGACCGTTATGTCCCTATCCTGATTTTTCCTCATAGCCTGGATCCTCTACCAGTCTACTATACTATTTGGCCTTAGTTAGTCACAAATCATTCATCAATTAGAATAAAATTATCAGGGTGTGACAAAAAGGACCAAATGGCTTACCTGTAAAGCAACAGCAGGGCAAGCTTAAAATGCAGCCATGGGAATTGAACCAAGTCTTTGTACCAGTGACGCTGCCAAAATTACACAGAATGTTACTGCCACCACATTTGCTAACAATAGCCCTCCTGTCTCCATACACAAGTTCAACATCAGTATAGCAAACTAAGTTGTTAATTCTTCCTCCTTAATATGTTGTAACAGTGAAGGTTCAAAACAGTTGACACTCAAGATTTCATTTATGACAAAAACCTCTAACATGATACGAGCTCCTGACCATTCTTAAGAAACCTGGAAATCTGCAAATTCTTAATACTGGGAGGCAAGAGATTCACTTTTTTCATGGGCATTAAGAATAGGCCAATCCCATCATGTACCTAAAAGGATCAGTTATTGAGGGATAATATGAGATTATTTCAGAACACTTGAATTTCACTAGACACAATAAACAAATAAAAACTAATATAAATTGATGGTGAAACATACAGCGATAGAACATGTGCAATGGCCGTACCTGAGCCCCAACTTACACCTAAATATAAGTACTGAATCCAAAATGATATTGTAGAATATCCCAAAACCATATCAAAACAAACAAGTTAGAGAAAATATTGTTTAGTTTCTTTTCGCTTAACAATGTTAAGATGCTAGTTGGGATGTCAAACCAAATCAAACAAGTTAAATGAACTAATTCTCAAGTTTAGACTTATTGTGACAATGAGTAGCAGCATCTATTAGTTGATAAAAGTAGTGACTGCATCATTTTCTGAAAGCTTCCCCTGCTGAACCTAAACATCCAGAAACACGAAATATACTGATAGGATCCAGCAACCTTTATTGGTTTATTCAAGGAAGAGGCGCAATGATTAGTTGTCTAGGGTGTTTTAATTATATTAGTTATATTTTATGTATGTCCTATACTGTCAGACACGTGTCCCTATGTTGGTTGTTTTATGTTTATCCTTCATCAGTTGCTGTATGGGTAGTTATTATTAGTTATTAGCAGTTGATGTATTAAGTATTAGTACCAGACTTGAAGCAGTAAGGAATATGACGTATTATTCAGAATTATTTGGTCCTGTCTAGAATTCAGATTTTGGTTCTAGTATCTCCCCTCTTCCCTTCTTCCCTCTTCCTTTCCCCTTCCTTCCCTCTTTCTCTCTTTATCTTCCCTCCCTCACAGACTTTCCTTCTAAATTCTTGCAAAATAACCTTCAGATTCTACCAAATTGGTATCAGAGCAGTAATTTCCTCTGGCCTGATGGTTAATACCTGCAACTCTTCCAACAGTAATCCACCCCTTTTACCAGACCCTATTTTAGAAGCCCCTAATCCACCCTCAATGTCCAACGAAACTAACCCCTCTTTTTCCCCAAACAAGTTGTTCCAACAATTGTCAAACATAGTTAATAAACTAGACCAGTTAGATGCAGACTTTTCAGAGATGAAGAAACAAAGCATGAATCATCAAGAGGCAACCAAGCAGTTTCATGTTGAAATGGAAGATAATGATCAAGATAGCCCATGGTGGAGTAGAGTACCTTCTAAGCGTCCTCACTCTAAGGTTGAATTCCCACGGTATGAAGGGGGGGACCCACGTGGATGGGTAATGAAGGCTGAAAAATATTTTCGTTATTATCAGACTCCTGAAGATTTAAAGATTGATGTGGCAGCAATGAACTTGGAGGGTGATGCTTTGGATGTATTTACTTGGATTAGTTCTGGAAGAACTATCAGACATTGGGAAGAACTAATTCAGATTTTTCAAGAGCATTTTGGACCTGCAGAGTTCCAAAATCCAGATGTCTATCTGTGCAGCATTAAATTAAGCAAGTGGGAACTGTACAAGATTATAGACAAGAGTTTGTTCGCCGTTCATCAAGGGTAAGGGGCTGGCTAGAACACTGTTTACTGGGTGTGTTTATTAATGGGTTAAAAGAAGAATTGCAAGCAGAAGTTAAGATGCAGAAGCCTCGCACTGTATACAAGGCAGCCAGTATAGCCTTAGAAATTGAAGCTAAGTTATTGGCTCAACAATCAGTTCGATATAACCAGCGCTCAAGCATGACACGTGGAGCTGATATGTCTTCTGGAATTAGGGAAAATAAAAACTATGGCATACAGAAGCAGTTACCAAATACGGCAGTTACAACTTATAGCACTAACAAGCAGTTATCCTTGCCTTATGGGAGTAGTAACTCAGCAATTACTAACAGTTATGGCCTGACAGAATCAGAGAGGCAGTTGAGGAGAGACAAGGGCCAATGTTTTCGGTATGGAGAGAAGTTTGCTCCTGGGCATAAATGCAAAACAACCTCTTTAAAACTAATGGAGATATCTGAAGAAACGGAAAATACAGAAACTGGAGAGATGGAGGCTTCTCAGAATCATACTGATGACCTTGCAGAAATTTCCCTACATGCCATTCTAGGGAGTTCTTCTTCTGCTGCCATGAAACTTCAAGGCATTTTGAAATCAAAAAATATTCTGATCCTTGTAGACAGTGGTTCAACTCACAACTTCATTTCTGATAGAGTTGTGAATGAATTATGTTTACCAGTGGAACAAATCCCTTCGTTTGGAGTGCAAATTGGCAATGGGAGTGTAGTGTGTTGCAATTCTATTTGCAAACAACTGGAAATTCAAGTTCAGAGTCTGACCATCAAGGAGGATTTCTTCCCTTTTTCTCTGGGAGGAGCAGATATGGTGCTGGGAATCAAGTGGTTGGCTTCATTAAACACTGTGGAGGCTAATTGGCAGAAAATGTTCATGATATTTTGGGTTAATGGAAAGAGGTATAAACTCCAAGGGATACCCAGCAAGACTTCTACTATTGCTGCCTTGAATAGTTTTTCAGCACAGGAAGTCACAGCTTGGACTGAACATCGCTTACAGAATTTGCTGGACTCTTTTGATGAGGTATTTTCTGTACCTACTGAATTACCACCTATGCGTGAGCATTTTCATGCTATACCTCTCTATCCTAGTTCTACACCTCCAAATATCAGACCTTACAGATATCCTCATAGCCAGAAAAATGAGATTGAGAAGCAGGTGGAGGAACTACTTTCTAAGGGGTTTATCTGTGCAAGTGTTAGCCCTTTTGCTAGTCCTGTGTTGTTAGTAGAAAAGAAAGACAAAACTTGGCGCCTCTGCATTGATTACAGGGAGCTAAACAAGATTACTATTCCAAATAAGTATCCTATACCCACTATTGATGAACTTATTGATGAACTACATGGATCTTCCTATTTTTCCAAGATAGACTTAAGATCTGGTTATCATCAAATCAGAATCCACCCTGATGACATATATAAAACTGCTTTCAGAACCCATTCTGGCCATTTTGAGTTTGTGGTCATGCCTTTTGGCCTTACTAACGCTCCTTCCACATTCCAAGCTGCTATGAATGACATGTTCAGACCCTATCTCCGTAGATTTATCCTTGTGTTCTTTGATGATATATTGGTGTATAGTAGCAGCTTCCAAGACCATATGGAGCATTTGAGGATAGTCTTACAAACTCTGCAGCAAAATTCATACTTTGCCAACTCTAAGAAATGCCAATTTGCTCAGACCAAAGTATCATTTTTGGGACATATGATCAGCAATCAGGGTGTTGCAGTGGATGAAGAAAAAATTGCTGCAATTCAAGCTTGGCCTATTCCACAGAATGTTTCTGAGCTTTGTGGATTTTTGGGCTTAATTGGTTATTACAGAAGGTTTGTTCGACACTATGGACAAATTGCTAAGCCTCTCACTGATCTTACTAAGAAAGATGCCTTTTAATGGGATGCGGCTGCCTCTACTGCATTTCAAGACTTGAAAATGGCATTGATTACTATTCCAGTTCTACAGTTACCAGACTTCAACAAAAAATTTGTGGTGGAATGTGATGCTTCATCGGCTGGAATTGGTGCTATTTTACAACAAGAGGGACACCCTATTGCTTACTACAGTAAGGGATTCAGTTTTGCAAAAAGGCATAAATCTGCCTATGACAGGGAATTATTGGCCTTAGTCTCTGTACTGCAAAAATGGCGCCATTATCTGCTTGGCAGGAAATTTGAGGTGCTCACTGATCATTACAGCCTTAAATACTTGATGGAGCAGAGAGTTTCAACACCAGAGCAACAAAGATTACTCATGAAACTCCTTCCCTTTGAGTTCACTATCACATATAGAGCAGGATCTTCCAATCAAGGTGCAGATGCGTTATCACGCTGCCCTCCTTCTGCTGATTTACTTATCTTGGCCATTCCACAAGCATCTGAATTACATGATCTTGAAGAACTTTTGCAGCAAGATGATTACACTGCTTCCATTATTACTTCTCTAAAATCAGACCCAACCTCAGTCCCTCACTTTGCTGTGGCAAATGGAAAATTATATCACAACAATCAATTGGTGATTCCTGCACCATCTCTCAGTCAGAAACTGATTAGGGAGGCTCATACTTCTCCTATTGGGGGCCATGGAGGTCATCTTAAAACTCTCAAAAGATTGCAGCAGAGTTTCTACTGGAAAAATATGAAAGCTGAAGTTAAAGACTTTGTGCAGAACTGCTCTGTTTGCCAGCAAAATAAGTATCAACCCAGTGCACCATATAGGCTTCTGCAGCCCTTACCGATTCCAGCTAACATATGGGAGGATCTTTCAATGGATTTCATTACTGCACTTCCAAAATCGCAAGGAATTGACACTATTCTGGTGGTTGTTGATAGATTCAGCAAGTATAGCCACTTTATTGGATTGCATCGTCCAATTAATGCAAAGACAGTGGCTGCAGCCTTTTGCAAGGAAGTGGCTCGCCATCATGGCATTCCTAAGACTATCATCTCTGATCGTGATACAATCTTTCTAAGTGCTTTCTGGCAGGAGCTTTTCCGATTGAGTGGCACCTAGTTGAGGATGAGTACTTCTTACCATCCTCAAACTGATGGCCAGACTGAGGTGGTGAACAGATGCCTTGAAACTTATCTCAGATGCTTTTCCCAAGAACATCCCAAGACTTGGTTTCAATACCTTTACTAGGTAGAACTCTCATACAACACTGGCTTTCACAGTTCCACGGGTTCTACACCTTTTAAGATTGTCTATGGAAGAGACCCTCCTTCCATACTACCCTACAGTCAAGGGACTAGCAGAATTGCTGATCTTGATGAATTCTTACTGGAAAGGGATGCCTTCCTCAAAGCTATCAAAGATAACCTCATATCTGCTCAAGCTAAAATGAAGATTCAAGCAGATTCAAAGCGACGTGATATTATATTTGAACCTGGTAACCTGGTTTTTTTGCGTTTACAGCCTTATCGCCAACAATCATTGGCCTCTAGACGCTTTAATAAGCTCTCTCCTCATTACTTTGGACCTTATCCAGTAATTAGGAGGATTGGAAATGCTGCTTATGAATTACAGTTGCCCCCATCAGCCAAAGTTCATCCAGTTTTTCATGTTTCACTGCTTAAACCTGCTCAAGGATTCACTGCCTCTACACCCTTGCCTCCTCTACCTATTTCTGATGATTGGGAACTACAGGTGGAGCCAGAAAAGGTCTTGGAAAAGCGTATTCTTTCTAAGAATGGCACACAAGAGTTAGAGCTACTAATTCAGTGGAAGCACCGTCCTACAGAAGAAGCTAGTTGGGAGGATTATGATCTCATTGCCAATCAATTCCCATCCTTCAGCCTTGAGGACAAGGCTGTCCTCCTAGGGGAGGGTATTGATAGGATCCAGCAACCTTTATTGGTTTATTCAAGGAAGAGGCGCAATGATTAGTTGTCTAGGGTGTTTTAATTATATTAGTTATATTTTATGTATGTCCTATACTGTTAGACACGTGTCCCTATGTTGGTTGTTTTATGTTTATCCTTCATCAGTTGCTGTATGGGTAGTTATTATCAGTTATTAGCAGTTGATGTATTAAGTATTAGTACCAGACTTGAAGCAGTAAGGAATATGACGTATTATTCAGAATTATTTGGTCCTGTCTAGAATTCAGATTCTGGTTCTAGTATCTCCCCTCTTCCCTTCTTCCCTCTTCCTTTCCCCTTCCTTCCCTCTTTCTCTCTTTATCTTCCCTCCCTCACAGACTTTCCTTCTAAATTCTTGTAAAATAACCTTCAGATTCTACCATATACATACATATATCTTTATATATAACACACAGACACACACATATATATAAAACCATGAATACACCTAATATTTATGAGAATCAGAAAGTCATCACTTCAATGTCACTCACTTAAAATGGTCAGACGCAGATTATAATCAAAGAAGAATCAACCTAGAATAATCTATGGCATAAGATGTGAAAAAATAGTCTTCCAATTTTATCATTTAGTTCTCCTCCCATGACAAACTCAAGAATTATGTACATCTTAGTCTGGCTAGCTAAAGTCTGAAATTAAAAAACAACGTAAATGAATAAAATTAAGGGGAAAAAATGAAAATGGGGAAAAGGAAATAGCTTATGTATATAGCACAATGTGCCACCACATACCTCATGCAACCTTATACCTCATGAGATTCATTAAAGCAACATTATCAAATGATCTAATTCTTAATGAGCCTTATAGCATCATTGCGTTAAATATAAAAGCGCAGGTGCTAAAGCATGTCTATTTGCATTAAAAAACTTTCATTTCCGAAATAAGCCACATATGCGATTCTAACACATCACGAGGCACGCGGGAATAATTACAACAGCTTTGCATGGCTTTGAACCAATATCAATTTTCCCACATTCGCAAATCATTCCTTATGGGCATCGCGGGCTTACAATTCTATTTACCACTTGAGAAATAAGAGTTAGTTACATACGGTGAGGCAGATCTAAAATGAAGGCCTACAGCCATCTGATCTACCCCATTTCATTGCCAGCGTCTCTTCTTTTACAACCCATACAAAGATCAGGCTCTATTTTAGTAGTATTTTTCTTGCCATATCAAATACAGATGTAGATTTACTGCCTCATATAATAAAACCGCTAGACCTGGCCAAAAAAAAAAACTCTAGAACATTTAAATTAATTGAAAGGATGTTTTGCCCTTGTTACAAAGATTATTAAAAAAATAAAATAAGAAAAAAAGTAAGAACCCTCCCAACCAACCAATGAACCGCAGGAGAAGAAATCTGTTGTTTTCTCTTCCTTTTTTTTCTTTTTTTTTTTGGAAAAAAAAAAGTTTCCTCAGATCGATCAATCTTGGTACGCTGACAGGCTCATAGCACAGGAAAACAATCCATTCAATCACAAAACAGCAAAACAATCAAGAACAAATATAATAAGATGGAGAGTATCATATCAAACTAACATATCAAGAAACATACCTAGAAAAGTACTAGAGATTAGCGAGGGTTGGGAGATGAATAGTAAATAAAAATGGTTCCTTTGATTTCAAAGAGAAGGGATGTGTCGGAAACATATATCCAAGATATATATATATATATCGGGAAAAGTCGAACATGGAGAAAAGTGGCAAAAAAGAAACCAAAAGCGAAATATGTTTACTGTTCAGTTCGGAGACTCCAATCCGTCAAAGAACATCCTGCAGGAAAACATCAAATAATTTGTAAAGTAACTTTCGTTCAACAAAAGAAAAAGGAAAGGTGGGGTTTTCCGGTTCCCCTTTTGCAATTCGAAGAAGAAGAAGCATCACCTGCAGCAGAGAAGCATGAAGAAACGCAGAGGCATTAACGCTGGCCACCAATCAAATCGCCGTCGCTGGCTTGGAGTTCATCGCCTCGTCATCGATTGCGGCTCCCTACTTCACTCTATCACTGATCTCTTTGTCGGTTAACCCATCTATTTTGGAGTGAAGAGTTGCTTCGCGATCAAGTTAAATCCCCCAACGGATACTTTTTTCCAACGGTGAAGTTTCAATAAAAATCATCTTCAGTTTGAATCTTTATAATTAATACCAAAACAAATTTCACCTTTAAATATGAAACTCAAGATTAAGAAAATATTATTCTCAAAGTCTTAAAGGTTATATTTTCGATTTTTACGTGATTTATTAATTTATTAATGATAACAGTTAATTACTTCACATTAAATTGATGACTAAATATTATATATCTTAATTTGATAATTTAAATTATTAATTTAATTTTATTATATAAAACTTATAAATCTCAGTTATTTAATGTTTTTTAAATGAAATTCAGAGTTCCATTGGTAACTAAGAATATAATCGATTTTTGAGTTTTAAATTAAAAAACATGTTAAGAGTTTGGTTAATAACAGTGCAGGTAGCTATATGTAGAAATTTTTTAAATAATTAATTAATTGAGAAAAAAGTCTCTCCTTACTAATCCATTAAACTTTTATCTTAAAGGTTGATGAGAGAGCGATTGAGGTCACATGTATAATTAAACTTTTTCTAGGAATAGTAATACAAGCCATCCCACATATTGCTGGTTAGCTCGTAATGGGTTAAAATTTAAACAGTGTGGGTTAACAGAGCCCTGTAAAGGAAACCCCTAACTATTATTTTTTAAAAATATTTTTTATATAATATAAACAAATTATAATGAAATTTTTGTTTTTCTCTCGTACTTGATTGAAAATACCAAATAAATGATGATATAGGAATTTTTTTAATTTTTTAAATATAATACAAAATATAATAATATAACTATAATAATGTTATTTTTATAGGTGTTTTTTCCTCAAATACTTCATTCAATTCATGCTGATGTTATTTTATACAGTTCATTTTCTTGGGGTCTATGTTTCATGTTAAGCCAATATTTTTCGGTTGGGAATATGTTACCTAATTTATACTTCTCTTCCACTACCAAAAAAAAAAAGGAAATTAGCTAATCCGTCACACATTTCATCACTAAAATTAGTGATGGAATTTAGTAACGGAAAATTTCTGTCACTAGATTAGTGAAGGAATAAAATTCCATCACTAAATTGACAATGGATTAGTAATGAAATTTATTGTGTCACTAAATTTCATCATAAATCTGTTGTTGATTCTGTTGAAAAGGATTATAATGAAAATTAATGATGAAAAAATTATGTCTCTAAATTATCGACGAATTAATAATAAAATTTTATTCCGTCACTAAACTAGCAACGGATTTCCGTCACAAATCCATTGTTAATTCTGTTGTAAAGGATTATTAACAAAAAAATTTTGTCACTAATTTCTGTCACTAACTCCAATCACAAAACATTCTGTGATGAAACTAGTGATAAAATTTTTCAGTCACCAATTTCCATTGCAATTCCATCAATGAGCTATCACAAAAAATATAATATAAATATATAATAATTATTTTTAATATGTACTAATAAAATAAAAATATAATATATCATAATTTTTGAATAATATATTATATGAAAATAAAAAATAAAAATATTATAAAAGAAAATAAAAATAAAAATATGTAATATACTTATTATTTCATTAAATATTTAAATAACAATATAAATTATAGGAAATTTTTTACTAAATACAAAAATTAAATTAAAATAAATAATAATATTAAATTATATAATATATATTAAGTTATATATAATATTTATCATATATATTTGTATTTGTTATTAGAAATATTATATATATTTATTTTTGCATAAAACTTTCATCAGTGTTTCTCAGTTTAACTGGCAAAGGCTTCAGCACGCATAGTAATGACGTGGATAATGTGATGACATGGCTATACAGGAGAGATAAGGAGTTGAAGTGGCAGTCGATGATGACATGGTGGCTCACAATGATGGACACGTGGCAATGACATGGATGAAGGGATGACATGGCAATATGGAAGAGAGACGAGGTTGTGAGGTGGCGTTCATTAATGATGTAGTAGCTTACAATGATGGACATATGGTGATAGTGTAAATGAAGGGATGATGCGATGGCATGGGAAAAAGAGGAGAATGTGAGGTGGCGATCACAAACATGACATGACAATCAATGGTTGCCACATGATATTTTAAATTTACAAGATAAAAAAATTGAGCGACAGATTAGTGACGAAATTTTCGTCACCTATTTGTAACAAAATTTTCTGTTACAAATCTGTCACTGTTTTATGACAAAATTTATGTGGGATATCCGTCACTAATTAGTGACAGATTAGTGACCAAAAATTTCTGTCACTAATTTTCATAGCTAATCTGTCAGTAGTTAGTGACCGAATTTTGAATTTCATCACTAAATAATTAGTTACAGAAAAAAATTTTATTGGTAGTATCTTTGCTAATTAAATTTGGTTACTAATCTATCGCTAATTTTGATTAGTGACAAAAATTTTGTTACTAAATTCCTTCATTAATTTAATATTTTTTGTAGTGTTTCTATTTATGCATTTTTATTTATATATAAAAATTTTGCTCGGGCATCAAATGGAGCATTGGAAACGGATGCCAAACTCAATTCTGGACAGATAACTGGATTGGTAATCATGGTCCGCTAAAGCGCCTTGCCTTTGTACCTCTTGAAGAATATGAATTACAGGAAACAATATCCTAGTTTATAACCCCAAATGGCTAGTGGGACTGGAACAAGTTCAAGAGTAAACTCCCCCAGGAGACTACAGAAGAGATCATTGCAACGCTAGTGCCCCTATGCACTGATCCGCCATCAAGGTGCTATTGGCACCTAGAGAGAAGTGGTGAAGTTTCAGTTAAATCGGCCTACAATCTACTCACTCAGAATGATTTAAATGAAGAAGAAAGTAAATGGATGCTAGCATGGAGATGGCCAAGACCGAATAGAATCAAAACTTTCCTCTGGCTAGCCATATGAGGGAGGCTGCTAACTAACAGTGAGAGAACCAGACGGCACATGACAAGTAACGCCTTCTGTGGGATTTGCAACTCAGGCATAGAAGATGTGGATCATGTACTAAGATGATGCAGGCTAGCGGTCGAGTGCTGGAAACTAATCACGCCATCCTCACACCTGACACGCTTCAGCTTGATTAGCCTTTCAGATTGGTTTCAGGAAAACCTCAGCTGTAGGAAGACCAATCCTCAATGGTGTGTCTTATTTGGAGTTATATGTTGGAGGTTATGGCACGCTCGCAACACCCTTATTTTCAGCAATGAGAGGACTTACAGTTTCCGCCTAGTCAATGAGGCCATTTCTTTCACTAATCACATTATTACAGCCAAGGACTTCTATAGCCAACTGAACTGACTCTGAAGTCTAGTGCTCTGTCTTTCTTTTATTTTGTTTGTTGTTTCTCTTGCCTTTCAAGTTGTAGGCACCCTGTACATATCTTTGTTTAATGAATTCCTTTTCTACTAAAAAAAAAAAAAAGAAGAGCAAGCAACATTTTCTTGTTAATTATGCGTCACTAGGGCAAATCAATTGCCTCTCTTCGACATACCAATCTAACATGCTGCATTTGCTTCACCAAGGAACAGGTATTGCCGCAACACACCAACCTAATCGTTGCATGTGAAATGATGCCTCTATATTGGAAGTTGTGGGAGTGAAGTAATTCAAGTGCTTCCACATACTAGACATGATAAAAGTGGCTGTGGCTCTTGTGGACACTCAAGCTGGTTTGATTATTTTTTCCCCTCATAGGGGTTCATGCTTAGTAGATTGAATCCTTATTAAGCTTGCTAACCTAACATGTTGCATTCACCAAGAAAGAAGTATTGTCGCAGCTTCCTAAACTCATGTCACAACTTTCTCACCTAATCATTGCAAGTGACATGATGCCTCTATAGGTTCCAAACTACCATTGAAAGTTAGGGGATTGAAGCGATTCAAATGGTACTAATTCATCATCATGATAGAAGTGGCCTATGACTCTTATGGTCACTCAGACTGATTTGACCCTTCTCGCTTAGAAATGATGGGTTGATACTTCACAGGTTTATCAAAAATCCCTATGCTTCCACTTTCCTAAGAGCAATGTTTTAAAAGCCAGATCGGATATCGAGCAGGATAGACTAGCAATCCACTGTTCTTATGGTCAGACCAGTTGGACCGATAGTTGAACCGGTAATATAGTAATTAAATAAAAAATAATATTATGTATATAATAATATAAATATTGAAATAAATATCAAAATATTACATGACTTAAGAATGAATATAGCCAACCTAACACGTAACAATATCAGTCCCAACTCTCAACACTTAAAACAATGAAATTATTAAAATAAATTTTAATACCATAACTGTAACCAAAGTGAAAAGAAATATGGTAATTAAAGAATTTCCTTTTTTTTGGAAAGTTACTAGTACTGTTAAAAATAATAGTATAACACGTATATATACACATGTCATTAACCAGGACATCTAAGCTTAACTAAATACTAACAAGGTCTAACAGAATGTTAACAAAATAAATTAATTTACAGTTGTCAATACCCTTTAAATATATTATTATAATAGTATAAAATTTTCATTTTCGCACATTTTAGCATAAAATAGTTAATTTTTTTAAAAAAACATTTTACTACAATCGATGCGTGTCAAGGGTTTTTAACCCTCACAAGCAAGGAGCTGGTTCTTTTCAAGTTCCACTTCCCAAGGGTGCATTGGGTGCTACTCAAAAATTAGAACAGAGATGGCTTTTGCAGAACGATGGTTTCGACAACTCTTCTTGAAAACCCAATCTTTCTTCTACTTTTATTTGTGTCAACGAGCATGTCTTTCCAAAGTTAAGTTCTAATTTTGATGAAATTTTTTCTCTCATTCTCTTTGATAATATAAGTTTTGTTCCTATTGTTAGATTTTCTTTTGTTTTTTTTTTTTCCTTCTGATAAGTTCTTCATCATCTTC